TGTCTGATTAGGGCCCCACCCTTATGACCTTATTTCACCTTAATTACCTCCTTAAAGGCCCTATCTTCAAATATATTCACCTTAGGGGTTCAGGCATCAACATATGAATTTTGAGGGGAGACAAAATTCAGGCCACGGCACATTATAAGGATGAAGCTAGATGTATTCCATTCAGCTGTCCAGTTCCCCCTCCCCTTCTGTCCACAGGCTTTGTACTCTGGGATCTTAATCTCTGTGGGCTCCAGGGCCTCTGGCCTCTGGTGGGGACAGCCAGTGGGATACATAGACAAAAGTGGGAGAGAGTGAGGAAGAGCCTGGGGTGTCTCGCTCAGCATGTATTCCCCGGCTCCTTCCCTGCTGGGCCATCTTGGGTTGGTGTGGACCATCTTCACCTCCCGTGAGCCCCTCTGTCTCCAGTCCCAGGGACTCCTCTCTCCCTGGCTCCCTTCAGGCCTGGGGGTGGGGGCAGTTCTTAACCCCAGACTGTCCTTTGGAGTTTGCCTTCACCCTGCTCAGTTGTAAAATAAGTCCCTCAAATTACCTGTTTGATAGAAGGACGTCACCTCTGTCAAGAAGGGACATTTCCAGGGCAGCGGCACCCACTGTCCTGTCAACCAACTGTTTTTCCAACCAAATGGGTCTCCAAAAGACCCCCTAGCAGTGTCATTGTTCCTCCACGGTGGTGTCATGTGTGGACACTCCAGAATAGAACGACCTGTGGTCATGCTTCTGAGGAAACGCTTGTCAGGTGGGAATTTCTAGAGGGAACTTTGCATCAGAACCTATGTCCTTCCCCGAGGATACTCAGGACCATGCATACATCTTTTCTTCATTATTCTAATTCTGCCTCCAAGTCTGGAGAGAGCTTGGAGGCTGGTGTGCTCTTAGATCCTAATGCCAGGCTTCACTGGGAGTTTGGCTCAAAACAGGACAGCAACCACCTGCCCTCTTTTTGCCCAAAACAAGACTGTTGTTATGGCAGAGGGCTATGGCTTTAGCTCGAGTTGGGTTTAAGCTTTGGCTGTGGTGTTAACGAGCATTTCTGAACCCGTTTACTCATCTGTAATATAATGGTATAAACTTGAATTGTGCAGAATGTTTGTACAGTGCTTGGCGCATGTAGTAAGCTTCTTTAAATGTTAGCCTCTGTGGTTTTTAAGTGCACAATGAACCTTCTATAAAGGAGCCTTCTCTCTGTAAAAGTTGTAAAACTCCTCTTGATCATAAAAATTATCTCTTAAGAATTGGCCCTGTGTTTTCCTTCCTAATAGAGAAATAAATGTGTTTGTTTCTGTTTATAAAAATCATACATATTCATGAAAGGGTGGTATAAAAAGAAAATAAAATCCATTCCTAATCTTACCAAACAGGACAAATTCTGTTATATTGTCACTTTATGGTAGCTTTAAGCATATAAGTGCACTGCACATTAACTTCATCGCATGCACACACACACACACACTTATTTCTAAACTGAGACCATGCTTTATCATTTTGTATCCTGCACTTGTAATTACATTGTGAACATAAAAGTACCTTCTGAATATTGTCTTATTGAATATTCTTTAAAATCAAATACATTTTTAAAGATCTTCTCATGGAAGTTTATATAAGTGGTCATACTTTTACATAGATAAATAAATGTGATTGTGTCATGTGGGCTTTTTATCCTTTGGTGGTTCTTGACCTACTACCTGTTATGGTGCTGTTTAACCCAGGTAGGTTTCTGCATTATCTCGTGTGTTTGTTAACCTGTCAGGTAAAGCTCTGATGTGACCGTGTTTTTCCCAGTGACACAACCCCTCCATGTGTGATAGGAAGGGCACACATTGGTGATGAAATGGAACCTTCATCCCTCTTCACTGGCTGCGATGTTCTGTCTTTGAGGTACAGACATGCATCAGTCACCAGAGTTTCTCTCTCTGGCCCTCCACACCATAGTGAAGAGTAATTCCCTCGAGAGAATTAGAAGCATTGAATAAAAGCCTTAGTTTATGACGGTTTGGTGATTTTTGCATCTTTCTCTATGTCTCATGAATATTTGGATGGGAGACTGAAGGATGGTAAACCAGGTCCAGCTGTCTAGTGGCAGTATCATCCAGAAGTTTCTCCCTCTCTCTCTTCATGAATTTTTCCCATTCCTATGTAATCATATTGCATTTTTCCACATAGAAAGACAAAAAGAAATCTATGCTCAGGTCAAGTGAAATCCTGTCATAAATATTCTGTCCCTTGAGGATTCAAGGTCAGGGAGAGTTTATCAAAGATATTCCAGATTTTTTGTCGTCTCTCTTTCCTTGGCTCTTTTTCCAGAAATTCTGGGACAGCATCCCAAATACTTTTTTCTCCACCTGAGACCAGAAAAGTTAGGGTCTGGAAGGAAGAAAAGAAGTTCAGCCATCACTTGCTTTGTGACTTTGGTTCTTACTTCCTAATTACAAAATGATAGATCTGGCCGAGGTGTCCTCCAGTGTGCCTTCTAGTTTTAAAATGGTAAAATTTCTGAGGGATTCAGTTATAAGTATTCCGAGAGATACTCTTCACTTTGGCTTATTTCTCTCTTTTCTCCTGAAGATCTCATCTTAGAGTGCAAAATAGTCAATATGCTTTAGTACATCTATGTTCTACTTTGCTTCTTCCTCTTAATTATTTTATGACCTTAGGAAAGTCTTTGAGTTCATGCCAAGATTTGATGTAAAGTATGTAAGAAAAAGTTCACAGATCTGGTTGAAGAAGATATCCATGGTCAAATATGTTTGTAAATCACTTCACATCGTGCCCTCTCCTGCCCCCTCTTAGAATTTTACAATGAACAGTCACATACTAAAGACTCTTAGTTCTGCCATAGGTTAACTTGTTTAATTTTGCTTAACTCTGAGTTTTCCCAAACATATTTGATCCTGAAGTCCATTTACTTCTGATAGCACCCGTTAACATCCCTCTTAATTAACATCCATGCCCTACATAGTGGAGGCACAGCGCTGGGAGGAAGGGCATGGTCCCAAATTCTGTCCCTTACTGATGACGTGATCTCATGATAAATATATAACCCCTATACACCTCACGTTGCTCACAGATCAAATGAGTGTGCACAATAGCACCCAGCTTATGTGGATGCAGATTTATAGGAATATCATGCAACTATGGTAATTGTGACTAATGCTCCAACTCTGGGCTCTGGCTGTCTTGGGTTCAGATTTTGTCCTTCCATTTACTAGCTTATGATCTCAGGAACATTACTTCTGTGCCTCAATTTTTCATCTGTACAATGGGGACAAAAATTGTACCATCCTCACAGGGTTGTTGGAAAAATTCAGTCTGATTCATGTAAAACATTTGGAATTGTGCTTGGTCCATGATAGGGATCGAATAAATGTTAGCCCTTATTAATCATTGTCATTGGTGACATTGATATTTCTATGACTATATCATGTAAAAGGGATTTTAGGTCCTTTTCCTTATTGGAATATAATTGACATAAAGCACTGTGTTAGTTTCAAGTGTACAGCACTGATGATTCAATATTTGTGTATGGGAAATGATCACCATGGTGAGTCCAGTTAACATCCATCTCCACATGTAGTTACAGATATTTTTTCTTGTGATGAGAACTTTTAAGATCTACTCTCTTGGCAGCTTTCAAACATACAATACAATACTATTAACCGTAGTCACCATGCTGTACCTTACATCTGGATTATTTTAGCTTCTAAAAGCAACTCCTCCTACCCCAGGAAACAGATTAAATCCAGGATATTACTGCTATAGCATCATGCTCCTGTGAAGACTTGATTCTGCCATGTTGATATTGATCTTGTCTTTATCTCGGGTCTGGACTCCACGTCTTCCTTCATTTAACTTTTTCTGTTTGTGCGCAGGGGCGGAGGGGCCTCGGCTCTGTCTTTGTCTGGGCATCAGGAAATGGCGGAAGGAGCAAAGACCACTGCTCTTGCGACGGCTACACCAACAGCATCTACACCATCTCCATCAGCAGCACAGCCGAAAGCGGAAAGAAGCCTTGGTACCTGGAGGAGTGTTCGTCCACGCTGGCCACAACCTACAGCAGCGGAGAGTCCTATGATAAGAAAATAGTATGTGCCCCTTTCATGTCTGTCCCAATTGGTTTACTTATCTTTCATTTTGAAACGCAATTTGAGAACCGTGCATTTCTATGCGCAAGTTACGTGTGGAAAGAGAAAGTCAGATTGACTGATTACTCAACACAGGTATTGCATAGTTACCATTCTGTTGCCAATTCATTGAAAAAGGCTGTCTGGGGGCCATTGCATTCCAGCACTGAATGTGGCCTTAGACTTGGCTAAGCTTCAGCTTTACTGAAGACAGATGAATGGTCCACATTCACCTTGTGAGTTAGTGGCAGAGAAGAGACTAGGTGGGAATCTGAGCCCAGTTCCCTTATCACTCTGTCCTTGGACTGCCTTTGAACTCAGCTTCAGTACTTTGGTTCTGAAGTAGGTACAACTAATTCAGCGTGAACTAAACCTCCATGAGAGGTCTCCTGTAGTGCCACAGCACAAAGTTTGCAGGAACAAGCAGCACAGTAGTCCTGCATGATATACTTACCTACTCGCCCTGCTCTCTGTGCAGGCAGTGAAAGGGTTAAAAGTTCAGGTTGCAGGACCAGCCTGGATGGGTTTTGTTCAGTCTTGAACTATTTAGCAGCTGGGTAACTTTGGACACGTTACTTAATTTTTCTGTCTCAACATCCTTACCCGTAAAATGGGGACATTTAATAATACATATTTCATGGAATTATTACAACGAGGAAGTAAATAAAAGGCTCTTTGCACACTACCTGACCCACTGGTGCTCAAGAAGGGTCTGAGTTTTGGGATGCTCCACGCTGTGTGGCTGTCTTGAGATTTCGAACACCTTTGCACTTTGCTCTTTTCCTGATCATGGCTTTGTAAAACGTCTTGGGGTTTGTCTTTCTGAAGTGGAGCTAAACTGCTGTTCTTAAGACTTTTTAGCCTTTAGCCAAGACCTTACTTTCAGATCCTATAGACTGAAACAACCTTCTGGTACCATTGTTCCCTAAGTCAGTGTATCTTTCTGCATCGTGCTAGCTTAGGCTGGTCATTTTTCCAGCTGTTATTAACAGAAATGCTTGTCGTACCTTCGTTTTTCCGATCTATAGACTATCATGAACTGTTCCACCCGCCCCGTGAAGAAAGGCACTTTGATGAGTATGTTAAGAGTCGATGTAGAGTCGAGTCAGTGTCAGTATCAGCCTTTTGTGGTCCAGCTGCACCTTTTCCTTCTAGATGTCAGAATGACAAATAATCCTGCTCTGCACTTGAGACCTTTTCTTCACCAGGCTTTGAACCAGATGCCTGTGGTCCCTTGCAGATGCCCGCATCCTGCTAGTGGCATCCATGATTGAGTGTTACAATGTCTCTCTTTGTTCAGGGGCTCCCCTCCCTGGACCATTCATTTCCTTTTGTCATTTGCAGCTTCTCCAGAAGAGCACGGTTGTTATTCTTCATTCATAGAGCACCTTTGTGAGTTGAACTGAGGCAGACACTGAGGATCCAGGAGAGGAAAAATCTCACTGCTTCTGGGAAAGCACTTTTGTTAAATAAATTTTACTTGTCCTCCACCGAATGCCTTTTCGTGGCATGCAAGCAGGAAAACCTTGCCCTGAGTTTCAGAATGCAGCCACGTCTCCATCCCTTGGTTTCCTGCCACCACTGTCAGTACCATTGGCAACCTTTGTATTCCACTCATGCTTAATAGACTCAGATCAGTGATAGCCTTGGATCTTATTACAGCAAGTGAGGCATCCAGGATACCAAGATTACTATGATAAGAAGCTCCTCTCTAAGCATACCTATTGCCCTAATCAACTGATTTCTATTTAGTTGATGATTGGTTATTATGAAGTAATATGTTTTTATTAACAACACTTATTATACATCTTATTCCATGCCAGACACATAGTGCATTTATAGTTGTATTAATTTGTCATAAATATAACATTGTTTGCCCTTCTAACGTGTGCCTGGCAGTGTGCTAGGCACATCAAATGCATCATCTCTTTGTATCCTCAAAACCCTATGCAGAAGGATCAGGTGCTGTCCCCATGTTACGGGTGAGAAAACCAAGACTTGAAACTTTAAGAGAAACACAGCTCTTAAGCAGCAGAGCCTGGATTCTACCCAAAGTCAGGATGAACTCCCAACCCACCTTGTAACCAGTGTGCTGTTGTGCCCTGGGTACTTTCCAAGGATGTCCAGCTTGGGTCTTTATGAAAGGATGCTGCTTTTCTTGACTGGGTTCTTTTCACAGTGATTTAAAAAAGAAAAAAAAAAGTACATGGACTACATTAGCATCCATTGTTTATCACTACATGGCTCACTCATTTTGAATTTCGTGCCTTTTCCTAACCCCCTCAGACAAGCAGTCCTCTTGCAAAAAAACCCTGAGCTCTTCAGCATCTGAGTTGCTAGTTCCCAGGCACAGCGTCGAGCTCTCCGAGGCTACTATGCCTTTTGGGTGATTTCAGACCCGGCCCTGAGAAGTGTCCCCTGGCAGGAACGCTTTCCCCGGAAACCACTTCTTTTATGTCTCTTCTCCAGCCTCACCGCAGGGAGGCTGGTCTTCCTCACCGTCCCCTTCCCCGTGCTCGATTCTTTTTCTTCTGTTCCATTTTCTTTCTAGTGCCCTTAAAGCTACTTAACACGATATTCTACATTTTCTTATGGACTGTCTGTTTTCCCTGCTAGAATGGAAACCACCTGATGTCGAAGACTTCGTCTTATTCCTTCCCAGAGCTTGAACTTAATAAATATTCAGGCATAAATGACTGTCAGACATTGGGGATGACGGAAGCTTCACAAGGTGCTTGTGCATGGTCTGTACATACAGAGACTGATGAAGCTTCCATCTTCCACACGTATAATTTATATGTAGTTTATGTGTAGTCACAAGAGGCAGATGAGTGCTCTCTCCTTCAGAGAAACTCCTCCTGGTGGGTTGGTGAAAGGCAGAGGGCATTTGACCATGTATTTCCCATAGGAAATTGCCCACGGGAATCCTGCTACATGATGAAGTTCTGTATACAACCATTCTTAGTGTCGAGGAGGCGTGAAGATCCTGTCTTTACATCAGTTTCTCCCAAGTCTGTTCTAGAGATAAAGCTCCCCCAGGCTTCCCCATCGTTAAATGATCTCTTTCTTTTGGGACTAGTTCAGCCTTTGCCTTTTTTTCCCCTGTAGTCATTTGTCTCGCTGATTGGAATGTGGGTCCATCGTATTCCCTCTTGGAGGGGTTTTGTGAGCCAAGGTTTAGAGCATATATGTTCAGCTCAGTGCTCTTCTGATGTTTATTTGCGTTCAAAACAGACTGGCTGCCCGGGCTATCTCAGGGCTGGCCTGATAGCCCAGCTCCATGTGGAGGAATCATCTTACGGCGTTTCATGTGCCCAAGCAGCCACGCATTTCCTGGTGCGGGAAGTCCCCGCTCCTGCTGCCGATTCGTTATTCAGACGCAGTCATTACCATCATCTCTGTTTCTCCTTTTGATTGGGGAAATGTCATGATTTTTCATGAGTGGAAGACTAGCAAATCCAGATGCGTTTCATTTGTGTGGAAGTTTGAT